TGAAATCAATAAAGAAATATATTTTTAAAATAAAATAAAAAATAAAGTCTTAGGCACAAATTGGAAACTCCACTGTGCATACCGGCCACAGATTCAGGGCAGGTATGAAGAGGACTCTAAAAGGACTTTAACTAAATTTATCCCAGAAACCAGTGAAAACTGGACCAACCTCCTGCCTTTGCCTACTTACAGGCCAGGTGTACCCCCAACCAGGAGGGGTTCTCCCCTCTTGAAATCATGTTTGGTAAACCTCCCCCTATCCTACCCAAAGTTAGGGGAGGAATTAAAAGTCATAACCATTCCTTGCTCAAGTCCTTGCAGGCTCTGCAGTATACCCAGAGAGCCACCCATAAGCTTGTTCGAGATGCCCTGCCGGTGCCCACCTCGGACCCTGTACATCCTTTCCAGCCTGGGGACTCAGTGTGGGTAAAGAAGTTCATGACCCAAGGATTCACCCCAACTTGGAAAGGACTATGCACTGTCGCCCTGCTGATGGCATCCAGACCTGGCTACACCACTCCCAGCTCCTGCACCAGAAAACGGCCTTGATCCCGGCAGCCAGCGGCCTCACCCATGAGATTCCTAGCCTGGACTCCACGCAGGCCAGGAGGAGGCTCAACGCCCGCGGGAGGGGAACTGAGCTTCAGTGAGGACAGTACTGATGGAGACCGTGGCACTAGGGCACTTGATAACTATAAGAACATTTTTACTAGCCAGTGAGAAAGTCCAGGACCAAGTGGGGCTAGATGTGCTAGGGGACAGAAGAGCAGGAACAGAATAGAGAATGCCCTTAGAAGAAGTGGGATGAGTAAATAGAAAACTGAATGTGCCAAGCAGGCAGATTAGAAAATTAATTTGGTCAAACTACTTGTAGTTAGGGGGCAGTACAATCCCCTAACTAGTAAAGATGAGTCCAAGATTTGACTCATGTGCATAAAACCAGTGGGGAATGAAGTATGGTAGCAATCATCTCTAGAAACTATTAGTTTAACTCTAACCCTGCTGTTTGGCTTAACAATAGAAAAGTTACTTTGATTTTCTGAATTGTATAAATCATCCCATTCGATTGAATGACTATCCCATTGATTGTTATCTTACTGGTTTTAGAAAGCATTCTTCTGTACCTGGGAACCAGGACAGCACAATTACCCTAAATTGTTTTAGTGGCCACAGGTGGTGCGTTCCAGTTGACTCAGTGGTCCCCAGACCAGGTCAGCGCAATTACTCTAAATTTAATGAGTTCCTAACTATAATTTAGATAACATGCTGCTTCTGCTTCTGTAAACTGCTTTTTTGCAAATCAGGTTCCTCATTCCAAACCCTGGGATGTAATCAATACCTTTGTGATCTTTGCCTATATAAATCCGGTGTTTCAGCCATCTTATCACTATGAGATTTGGGAGAGCTGAAATGCCCCCTCATAGTCCCGGATTTGCAATAAATATGACTCCTAAAAAAAAAAAAGCTGTGGTACATTTACACAATGGTACATTCACAAATACTACTTGACCATACAAGAGAAGGAGATCTTACATCTTGTGACAGCATGGATAGACCTGGAGATTATTAATAAGTGAAATAAGCCAGTCATAAAAAGACAAATATATGATTTCACTTATGTGTGGAATCTAACTAAATAAATAAACAAAATAGAAACAGACTTGTAGATACAGAGAACACACTGACAGCTGTTAGAAGGGAGAGGGAGGGGGCTAGGTGAAAAAGGTGAAGGGATTTAAGAAAAAAAAACCCTCATAGACACAGAAAACAGTATGGTGATTAACAGAGGGTAAATGGTAACTGAAGGAGACTCAACATTGGGTGGTGAATACACAGTACAAAATAGAGATGATGGATTATAGAATTGTACAACCGAAACCTATATAATTTATTTTTATTTTTTATTTTTGAAAGGGTGGTAAATGGTAACTGAAGGAGACTCAACATTGGGTGGTGAATACACAGTACAAAATAGAGATGATGGATTATAGAATTGTACAACCGAAACCTATATAATTTATTTTTATTTTTTATTTTTGAAAGGCTAGGCCCTAGGCCCCCCATCTTGCCCCAGGGGAAGGGCTAGGCCCTCCATCTTGCCCCAGGGTAAGGGCTACGCCCTCCATCTTACCTTGGCCATGTGCTTGGCAAGGAGCTTCTTCCCGGAAGTCTAAGCCTCTGCTAGCCACACCCAGGAACAAGACACCGACTTG